ACGGTGACTCACTGCATGGGGCTCCCTCGCTCTCTCGGGGTGTGGGTGTCTGCAGCTGTGCTCCCAGGGCTGACTGCTACTGCCCCAGTGTGGTGAGTGTTCATTAAGGACGTGCTGGCTCCTCTGGGCTAGACCACAGGGCTTGCAGTCTGCTAGGCTTGGATTATTACTCTGTAAGTTCTAGTTCAGGAAGGCAGGGAAGCCATCCTCCACCCCAAGTCAGCCAGTTCTCCTCTCTGACTGCCCAAGGTGGAGGTGGCTCTTGATCCATCTAACTGGAAAGTCCATGAGAATCTCAACATCCCGACTCTAGTGCCAAGATGCCTTGGCTTCCGTGGAAAAGGACCAGGGCTCCTTCCCCAGCTCCTATTTCTCCATACCCAATGTAATACACTGTCTTCTCAACTGGCCCCTAAACTCCTCCAGCTTCATCCTGTCCATCCCCTCGTGCCACATTCAGTTCTACATGTATACTGACACACCTCTTAACTATCAGCCAGGCCACTCTGCAACCCTAACTCACATCACCGTAAGCCATCCTCCTGTTCTTGAGCTGCAGTGTGGTTAGGGGAAACACACATACACAGACCAACACATGTGCACGTATATGTGTGCATGCATGTACACATGTGCATCACGCACACACACATACACACACAAAAAAAATCCCAGATCAACATTTTCTGACCAGATCAATCATTAATTCATCCACAGGGCATATTTCAAACACCTTCCCTTATAATACTGCTTTTTACTTATAATCAGTTCCTTCTAGTGTGTGGGCTCAGTTCAACAAATCTTTATTGATCATCAAATATTTGCTGGATACGAGGGGTTGGGCCCACTATAAATATGATATGGTCTCTGCTTTCTACGTACTAAGAGTCTTGAGAAAGAGAAATGGGTGGAGTAGCAGACATGGATGAAATCACCATTAGCCACAATGTGATTGCTGCTACAAAGGTTGTATGAATCATTTCAAACAGAACCACAGAGAATGAAGGGAAAGGTAACTAATTGGAGATGGAGAGTATGGAAAAAGTTGAATTGAGAACGACTCTCATGTTCTTGGCTTGGGTGGCCAAGTTGACAAGGCATGTGAGAGGCATATGAGGAAGCTGTAAGCTTGAACTGGGCAGGTGTAGAGGGATTGCAGAACTCTTTTTTGTCAGTATGTTAGTTTGACATCCCTACAAAATTATTATGGTACTTTGAGGTCCCCATGAAATATCCAAATGGTAATATTCCCATGTTTGAAGCTCAGGAGAGAAAGCTTGCACTAAGAGAGTGCCCCTAGAATCATCTCAGTACCAAGTAAGAAGAAAAGAAGGAAAGGAAAGAACTCAAAAGCCATAAGCATTTAACAGGGGGGCAGACAATAAGAAATGGATGGAGAAAGAAAGAAAATTAGGTGACTGTTTCTGCCTCCTAAATCTACCTGCAATTGCATTTTCCTTCTCATTTCAAACTACTTGCTAGACTTTTCTAATTGGATATTGCTCTAATACCTCAATACAATTTTCACTGGGAAAAAAAAAAAAGCTTTTACTTCTGACTCCCCTGTTTGTGTTAATGTGATTAAAATAATGCTTTCTTCACAGAAATCTGAAGCCCCTGACTCTCCACCAACAGTGTCTATGTTTTGAGTTACTCTGTCCTGGTGGGTTCAGTGTCTCCTTCACAATTACTCATCTTTTAAGAATCAGGTCACCACACCACCCCCATAGTCCCTACTGAAAGCCTTCTCTAATATCATGGTCCTCAGTGCGAATTAGGGATGCTGCAAATCCTAGGTTTTCATTATACCCTGCATATAGTTCTACCACTGCGTTTATAATACTTTATAAGTTCTGTAGTTATATTATTTCATGAATACCTATTTTTGTTTCTTGGGATGAAGAAATACTTATTTATCTTTGTATTCCCAATAAAATGCAAATGAAATGTTTGGTGAACAGGGACAAATTAAATGTTGAATAAATGAAGGAATAAGTGAGTGGAGCTACACCAGAAGAGATTCCTTCTTTTACTGCCCTTTTCACATTATGTAGAAGTATCTCATATTTTTTTCCTTACCTACATACCCTTTATCTAAGATGTTCTATAAGTAAGCCTCTTGACCATAATGACCATTTTTTATGTTGTAATGGCCATACATTATGATTTAGAAATCAGAAATCACCTGATTTAGCTCTCATCTCTTTGACATTCTCATACAGTCATTGGGATTTTCAATGGATTTAAAGGGTCAGTCATCTATCAAACTATTTTCCAAGAACTGTTGATGCATAAAGTGTTATTTGATGCTGGAATGTGTTGGGAATAAAGAGCCAGTGATAGTAAATAAAGGACACATTAATTTTTGTTTCTACAAAATTTTTATGTTGTAGATAATATTAAGAGATGACTCTAATAAGCCAATCACTTGAAGCTTATTCTTGTCTGTGTATGTGTAAAGTATTGTGGGAAACATAACTCAGGTAGGTATTTTGAATATATCTAGACGTTAAAGCTAATTATTTGCACAAAGTATAATTCAAACTGATACACTGTAAGTACATGTTTTTGTTTTTGTTTTTTATAAGTACATGTTTTAAGAAAAGTACATTTACCATAACGTTCAACTAATTTAGGGGGAAAACCCTGTACGTGAAATCTTTCACATCTTGCTAACACTCAGTTCATTTTAAGGCAATCAAGTGCTTCGTTGGTAACGGTGTTTGTTCCTGTGTACAGAGATTTATGAAACAGATTTACTTTCATGCCAGGAGAAAGAAGTCAGGAGCTAGAGAACTAGCTGTGTTTCATCTGACTCTCAACAAGTGCCTTCAACTCACTGAGTCATAAGTTTCAGAATTTTTAAAGGGGAATGATTTCAAGAATGACATACTATAGTACTGGATAATGCAGGTATTGACACCTTCTCTCAAAGCCTTGGAATAAATGTCTTACGAAAGAATACAATACTGAAACTGACTTTGTCAGCCTCTGGGGGAGATGAACAATCCAACAGAAATAAAATTTGCCTTAGCTATTTCTCATTCTGGAAGCTACAATTATGTTCATTACTAAACGGAAACCAAACTCTTGATAATGAGGCATAAATACTTGCCTATAGGTCTCAGGTGCGAGAGCACTAATTTTAGGTAGGATTTATATACAGTCTCCAGGGTTGATTTGTAAAAGTGTTTTGGTAAAGCCTGCCTTCTTCATTTAGGAGTTTTCCCAGAGTGATGGGGAATGAGAATTATCACCAAGGTGCTACCATCCACATTTAGCTCAAGAGAAAGGAATGGAAACTAGAAGACAAACTTCTCTCCTGATTTAATTATGCATCCAATGCTTAAGAGCTTCCCTGGTACTCAGCACTGTTCTAGGCACTGGAAACACAGCAGACAACTAAACACTCTTCCTAGATACTTAGTCCTCTGCTAACTTAATCACTAACACTTAAATAATACTATGAAGACAAGTCACTCAGCAGTTAAGCCCTAACCAAATAGAGGAGAATGTGGTTCTCTCCACTCAGAGGGAGCGGTCCTTGGCAGCTAGGGAAGAAAGGGACTAAAGAGGAGATGCCAACTGTACGGAATCTGAAAAACTGGCAAGATCAGAGCCGGAGCGAGAAGGGTAGGATAAACTGGGAGAGGAACAAGAGGGCCCTTTTGACCACAGAAGGAACTCCGCTATTGTGTTCAAATTGAATGCTAAACTTCTCTTTCTAGCAGCATACCAACCCTTTATACTTTATAGGCTCTTCCACTACTCCAACATCAACAGTTAACCTTTCTTAGACGTTTCCTAACCTGGTGCTGATTCCAGTGTCTCCGTTTTTCAAGAAGAGTTCAACTTAACACTTACACTTGCAATAATAATTATACTACTAACATCTACATTTATTGAACCTGATGTACTAAACACCACAGAAGGCTTCACATGGATTTTCTGGTTTAATTTTCACAACAGCCTTATGTGTTGGGTGCTATTAATCCCATTAAACAGATCTGGAACTAAGGCACAGAAAGGTTGTCCAGGTCACACCGCTAGTAACTACTGGAGCAAGGATTCTGACCTCTAGTTATTCTTTGTGTAAGAGATTTTGTATATCATATCGAAGAGTCTATCTTCCCCTTAACACCCCTAGAATATTCTCCTAGCTGTGTCTAGTTAACAAGGAGTCAAAGGACTGTCCCTTTAGATCATCTGTGATTTTTCTGTTTCTCCCTTAACCAGATAAAATGCAAACCTGTTGAAAGCAATGAAGAGGCACTGGGGAGAAGCAAGAAGCCTTCGCAGAGCCAGCCACCTAAATCCTGCTCCAGAACCTGAGCTCCCTGAAAGCAGGCCCCAGGCAGCCCTGGCTGCACTGAGGACTCAGGAGCGCGCGCCACAGTCTCCTCGGCGCCACCTGAGCTCCGGGCCCGCGCACATTCACAAAGCGCTGGACCCCTGAGCGGCCTCGGGCGGCCGGGGGGCGGCGCTCGCCGGACACCGCAGGTCTCGCTGCGGAGGTTGAGGTTTGCCCTTGGGCCGGGACTCGGCGGCCCGCGCTACTCAGGCCGAGTCCCCGCCGGGTGACCCAGAAGCTCCCTAGTCCTGGCCACTCTCCTGAGAGGAGGGGACGGGGAAGGAGAGGACGGTGGGGCGGGGCCTGCCACCCAAAGTCCCCAGCCCAGGGACGTCCCGGTCCCAGGTGCGTGAGCGACGAGGGGCGGGAGTCCACCGCGCGCCTCCCTCCTGCGAGGAATTCCCACCTCAGCGCCAGCTTCTCGGGCGGGTTCCCGGTTCCATTTTTCTCGCGGCGGCCGCACCTGGCACCGCGCCCCTGGGCAGGGCGGCGCGGCGGCCGCGGAG